CTGGGGATAGAAGTAGACAGCATAGAGTGCTGGTGTGTCTCACAGAAGGAAGACTGAGCAATCTACTTCCATAAAGATTTGCCACCTTGGAAACCCAATAGGGGTCGCTATGAGTCGGAATCAACTCAATGGCAGTGAGTGGTTTTTTTTGTGTGTCTTAGTAAGGCAGAGTACTGTAGGGAGAAAGATACGGGCTTGGAGTCAGATTTAAGTTCAGAATACCAGTTATTCACTGGTACCCTAGGACAAGTTAACGGACCTCTCAGAGCCTTAGTTTTCTAACCCATAAAATGGAGAGGACAACAACAAAATATGAAAAATGCCTGAAATATCCAGTAAATGTTCTCCTGCCCCAGTGACGGAGAATTCCAGAAGAAAGCTCACTTACCTAAAGTGCATGTTGATTCCTCCCTTTCTAAACGTAAAGAAGTTACCTTCATTTATTCATTCTAGCCACTTAAGAATAGTGCAACCTCAGAGGGCCACAGGTGGCCCAGCTCTGTGAAACAGTACAGCCTGGACACCTGGTCTTCTGGCTGAGTTTCAGGCCCATGGAGGAAGTTACCATTGTTTGGACACAAACAGGCCCAGTAGCCTACCTCCTCCTCCATTCTCAGCATTTGCTGTGTCAGGAATGTAGAGTGGAGTACAACAGGGTCACTCACATCATGGAACACAAGCTATAGGAGAGATGGGCCAGCTCAGTATAGTGTCAGAAATGCTCCAACACACAGACAGGGACCTTTGAAGTCTGTTGAGCTGGGAGTGACAGGATTGACTTGGGGTAACTTTCCTTGTGGATGTCCAGTTATCTTCTGCAGCCTCTGGCATCACTGCTTGTGACAAGAGTGATGTCACTATGTTTAAATGTAGGTGATCATATTTCTATTAACTAATTTTTATTGTATCCAGAAGTATCAGGCCATATGGATGAGAGATTTTAAAAGATAAAATAAAACCTGGTCCTTTGATTTGGCAATTCCTCAAAAGGTTAAACACAGAGTTATCATGTGACCCCACAATTCCACTCCTAGTTATGTACCCAAATAGTTGAGATCAGGAGCTCAGATACTTGCACACTAGTGTTCATTACAGCATTACTCACAATAGCCTAAAGGTAACAGCCCGACTCCCCATCAACAGATGAATGGCTGATGAATATGTGGTTTATCCATTTATTGTTGTTAGGTGCCATCGAGTCATCTCTGACTCATAGCCACCCTATGTAACAGAACAAAACACTGCCCAGTCCTGTACAAGGCTCACAATACTTGCTATACCTGAGCCCATCAATGCAGCCACGGTGTCAACCTATCTCGTTGAGGGCCTTCCCTTCTTTCATTGCCCCTCCACTTTACTAAGCATGATGTCCTTCTCCAGGGAATGATCCCTTCTGACAACATGACCGAAGTATTCATCTATAAGGAGAAATGAAACTCTGATATGCTGCTCATGGATGAACCTTGAAAACACTATGCTGAGTGAAATAAGTCAGACACAAAAGAACAAATACTGTGTAATTCCACTGATAATGAGATACCCAGAATAGGCAAATGCATAGACATAAAGTAGATGAGTGCTTTAGGAGATGATGCTGGTGAGAACAGGAATGGGAGTTATTGTTAATGGATATAGAGTTTCTATTTAGGTTGATGAAACAGTTTGGAAATAGATAATGGTGATGTTTGCACACATTGTGAATATAATTAATGCTACTGAGTCATACAGTTACCATGGTTAAAATGGCAAATTTTATGTTATATATATATTTATCACAATAAAAAAAGAAAGAAAGAAAGAAAAAGAAACCTGGTCATTCATTGCAGAGTTTGAGGTCTACAGAGCTCACAGAAGTCCAGCTGCTCATGCCAATGAGGTGGTCCTGCTGTCAGGAATCCCCAGGACAACTTTGGCCTTCATACTGGTCTTTGCAGTGGGCTTCAAAGACCCCTGTCATCCCTTGAGACAAGTTCTCCATTGCCTAGTTTCCTTGTGATCTCTCAGAAAAATCCCTGTCTACCTCCTGGTATTGTCCAGTGGTGATTCCGGGATGGTTTCCGTTAGACTGGAAAGGACATGTGGGAGATTTTCTTAATGGTACATTAATTTCATTTCTTGGAATAAAGTCACTGTCTCAGGACCAGTCGTAATGGGAGATAGGAGCTCTTTGGCCCATAATGAAAGAGAGGACCAAGAGTCTTCACCCTGGCTCTCCTGGCCAGATGACCTGGACGGTGTCCTGTGCTGGTAGAAAAGGCAGTAACTGCACAGACATGTTTTGGCAACACTGTCAGCAACCTCACAGCCCTCTGCCTGTTTTAAGAATTGCTGTCTAAGTCAGGACTGCTCAGAAGCTTGGTGGCACAAAGTGCTTATTAGCTAAGTGGTTAATAAGGTCTCATTAGGGACATGTATTTACAGCCCCAGAGAGTACAGTCTCAACCTCTGCTCACTCAGGGGAGGCAGTAATTGTGCCGTGGATATCATGGCCCCACCGTGCCTTTCTGGGAGAGCTCCGTGGAGACAGTTCACACCCTGGCCCAATGGAAACAGCCATCTGAGGAGCGGGATGGGCAGGAAGAAGCCAGCTGGCAGTACCAAGGGTAAACCTGGGCTCATCTTCCTTCTCTCTTTTTTTTTTATTTTCAAGTAAACCCAGGAAAGACTATATTCTCATGGCCATGTCTGAGGAGTTAGTGTTGGAGGCCTCACTAGAGGATGAAACATTAAGCAAACAATGGCACATTGTCCAGAGCCAATGTACCTGAACATTTCTTGGAGACAGAAGCCAAGTTTCTTGAAATTTGTGGTGGTGGTGTTGTTGTCAAGTCAGTTTCAACTGATAGTGATCCTGAAAATTGCAAAGCCTGTGCTTGGAGGCAGAATCCTAATCTGTCCCAGGCTGGGCCAGTTTGGGGGCAGGAGTGGAAGGGAGTGCCTGGTCTGGCTTCTCAGGATAGTGGCAGGCTTTGGGAAGTCTGATGAGGTGTGGGCAGACCCTTGCCAGCAGCCTCCATTTCCTATGATTCTCTAGAGCCCCACACATGGTCTGGAGCAGCTGACCCTAAGTTGTTTTTCATGTTGAGGTTTCCTTGGGGATACACAGAGTGATGCCTTCTGAGTCTTGTCATTCTCACCAGCCCCCTTGGCATCCCTTTTCCTGCTCATCCCTCTTTAGTGCCTGAGCTTTGCAGGAATCTGACGAGTTGGCCTAGGGTATTCAGGAGGGAGCTCTGGCAGGCCTGCTGCTTGCCATTCACCTTGCTGATCCCTGACCTTGCTGCTGTCCATTTGAGGCTTGCTGTGATCAGCTTACATGTGACCTCCCCAGAACAGTGTTGAGTTTAGATTGAGGGTGTCATTTTGTCCACATACAGGTTGCTGTTATTTGTTTTCATGATCACTATCAACCTTTGCCCAGAGGCCCTTTAGCCTCAATTACTGCTTTCTCTGGCCACATCTCCCAGAGGCTGGATTTGGAGGGTGGGAAGAAGGAGCAGGGGGATTGTTTACAGAATCTCATACCATACAGGTCTGGTTCCCCAAGGGCAGACTACAGTATTGTCTAGGTGGCCTTTCAGAGCTGGTAGAGGAAACGGGAGAAAGCTGGAATTTGCTCTGCGGAGTATAGATGGGATTGGACTATGTGCCATTTGGGTTTCACCTTGAGGATCCAGGCATTTGAAGGTGGGCATCACCATGCCTTTGGTAGCACAAGCTGCTAGCACCCACCACCCATTAGGCAGCATTCCCTAGGCCCATGTAGGAGAGCTGCCTCCTTCACCATGAGCCAGCCTGACCCTGCACCAGCCCTGGGCACCTTTGTGGAGCACCCTCCTCCTCCCTTTGCTTGCCCAGTGTGGACCAGCCACTCGCTCCCATTCCAGGCACTGCTCTTATTTGTAAGGTGGTCTGTGGGCCTGGACTGGAGGTGGACCCAGACGTCACTCCATAGGGACACAGAAGCTGCAGAGCAGGTGGGGCATGCTGAATTCAGGAGAGAAGGGGAAGGGAGAGTCACCTTCATCTTGACCCAGCCCCAGCCAAATGCCAGGCATGTGCACACAAGTTACCTCACCCTGGCCTTACCACAGATCTGTGAGGAACCCAAGCTCAGTAGTTAGAGACTTTGGGCCAGGTCACAGAGCTAGGACGTGATCAAGCTGCGTCTTATGCTTCCCCACACTGCTCATTAAGCAGCATGCCACTCTCTAAGGAGGATGGGTCACTGAAGAAACCAGTTACCATTGAGTGGATTCCAACCCATGGCAACCCTATGCGTGTCAGAGTAGAACTGTGCTTCATAGGGTTTTCAACGGCTCATTTTTCAGAAATAACTCGCCAGGCCTTTCTCCAAGACACCTTTGGGAAGACTTGAACCTCCACCCTTTTAGTTAGCAACCAATCTCATTGATCGTTGCATCACCCAGAGACTCCCTGTGCAGGAGGGCAGCAGCTAATTATCTTCCTGTCCCTGAGCTCGTGGGTCCTCCCTGCTTTCTCTCCTTCGCTTGACTTCTCTGCCTCTCAGGTTTTTGGAGGACTGTGGTTACACAGTGTGCAGTACAGGCCTTTATGGTAGGTATTAGCCTTAGCAGCACATACCAGCCCAGGCCTGGATGAGAGAGGCAGTGTGCAGACACCCTGGCTGGGGTTCACAAGACCTATGTATAGTCCTGAATCTTACATTTCTTTGCTAAGTGATCCTGGGTAGATCCCTTCCTCTCTCTGGGATTTATTTACCCCACCTGTAAAATGAGTGCCTCAGTGGGAGTTTGGCAAGTTACTTGGTTCACCCAGGCCACAGGATTCCATTCCTTCTTCTCCATCTCACTTATGCCCATCACCTGCCCCTGGCTTCTGCAGCCTCTGCGAGGGCTTTGGGTGCTGTTTGCATGTGGTGTGGAGCCCTCTCTCACACCCACCCTGTCTGTGTTTTCCTTCTCAGTGCTAATGGCTTCTACCTTTGTGTCTGTCTCTCTGCCTCCGCCCTTGGTTAGCTGACAGTAGGGAAGGTGTCCAGTGGAATAGGGGCTGCAGCTGAAGTCCTGGTCAATCTGTACATGAATGATCACAGACCTAAGACCCAGGCCGCCTCTCCAGACCTGGTAAGGACATGCACTCATGCACTCTTCAACCTCACCCACAGATACTGCCTCTGGCCACCCAGAGAGGGTATGCAGGCATGTGGAGAGGATGCCCACCCTCAGAGGCTCCCCCTCTCTCTCTTAAGACAGGGCAGAGGAGCCCAAGGATGGGCTGGAGGAGAGCGGAGATTAGAGGGAGGCTGAGTTTCCTTAAGACAAACTTCATTCAGGTCCCTTGGTGTTAGATCCATATGGGCCCATTGCACTGGGCAGAGTGTCTTTTCTGAAGCCCAGGGCTCTGGAGAAAGGCTTAGCACAAAGGCCTAGGTGAAGCTGTCTACATCATCAGACATTCTTTGTCTTCATGACTGAGAATTAAATAACAGAAAAATAATCTCTTTTCTTTGAATTCTCCTCTTCTCCAACCTAGGCCACACTTACTGCCATCACCAGAGAATTGGATTACAATTTTCTTTGGTCACCTTCCCTATAATTAGCCATGTGAACCCCTGCCCCAGCCTCACCCTCCCACTTCCATTTGGGAGTCTGACTGGCAGACTGACAATACCGGTGGACTTTAGGATACCTCTTCTGTTTTTGCAGTTCTCCTGAATACTTTTGACACCACTAGCTTCCCTTGCCCAGCCTGTCACTTCAGGGGTGCCAGCATGTGTAAGACATTCTCAGCAGGGCCAGTTTCAGAGACTTCACTCTGCTGGGACCAGTTCCTGGAGAGATTGTCCCTGGGCAGATGTGTTTGGAAATGACTCTTTAGTTAGACTAGATGTCACTTCCCATGCAAAACCAGAGCAGCTGGCCTGTGGGGAGAGCCCTCGCTGGTCCGCCTTGCTGCCAGACTGTCTGTCTGGGAGTCCAGATAACAGCAGCCTCTGCAGGGATGCATGCATATTGGCAGCATATCCTCCAGCCCTCAATCCCTGCTGCAGCAAACAGCAAAATGGTCCACAAGGTCCACATGGTTCAGCTTGGAATTTCTAAAAGCCTAGGCCAAGAATTTGGAGAAGGGAGTATAAGCCCTAACATACTGCTCTTCTCTCCCTCTACCCATCAGGATTGTATACGAAAGGTGTGCCCCCTGACCCTGGGCGGCAGCGACACCTGCTACTTCTGTAAGAAGCGTGTGTATGTGATGGAGCGCCTGAGTGCAGAAGGCCACTTCTTCCACCGCGAGTGCTTCCGCTGCAGCGTCTGTGCCACCACCTTGCGTCTGGCCGCCTATGCCTTCGACTGTGATGAAGGTAATCCCAGGGGCCAGAGTAGCACTCGCTGCTGATCTCGGCCTTGGCCTCTGACACGGCCTTGGCCTGGATTCTTGTTTCTCCTTAGGCCCCGGAATGACCAGCCCTTCCCAGGGAGTATGATGTTGTCGGGAGCTGCTGAGGGAAATTGGGAGCGCCTCCTAGGGAGAGGGGCTGCCTGTGCAGGCAGGCTCCTGAGGGGAAGGGAAGCTGTCAGTGCCTGTGGCAGACCAGGCACTGGTGAGCACCTACTATGTGCTGAGCGCTTTATATGTACATTTTCTTATGTAGCCTTACCACTTCTCATTGCCCCCTGGGTGGCTGAGAAAACCACACCTGATAACCTATGGAATGGGCTCAGTGCCTCAGGAGGCATGTAAAAACAATGTAATAAATGGTGGTATGTTATTATTATTATTTACAAAATAAAATTAAAAAAAACAAACTCACTGCCGTCGAGTCAGATCCCCGACTCATAGGGACCCTTCCTTAGGTTTCTGAGGCAGTATCACTATGGAAATAGATTGCCCAACCTTCCTTGTGAGGAATGGCTGATGGGTTTGAATTGCCAGCCTTCTGGTTAGCAGTCAAATGCCTTAGGCACTATGCCATCAGAGCTCCCATTTACAAAATATATGTTGTTGTTGTTGTTGTTGTTTGCCATCGAGTCAGCCCCGACTCATAGCGACCCCTCCTTGGGTTTCCGAGGCAGTATCACTAAGGAAGTAGGATTGCCCAACCTTCCTTCCGAGGAGTGGCTGGTGGGTTTGAACTGCCAGCCTTCTGGTTAGCAGTCAAGTGCCTTAGGCACTATGCTACCAGGGCTCCTTACAAAATATATACTATAACCATAATAGTAGCTTCCCTCTGATATGTGGCTTATTAGAGGTCATTGATGAAGGAAGTGTCCCATTGAAATGAATGATGGTTTTCTAAGTTTCATTTTAATACATAACGAGAAGTAGTGCAGCCTAATGGTGACAATCACATACTCTCAAACTAAACTGCCTGGGTTCAAATCTGTAGCTATTGACCACATAGCTTTGGGTATGTTACTTAACCTCTTAGTCCCTAAGTTTCCTCATCTGTAAAATGAGGCTTATAGTAGTACTTAGCTTGTAAGGTGGTTGGGCGGATTGATGAGTCAATTCACGCGAAGTGTTTAGAATAGCGTCTGGTGTGTAGTAGGTCCTTGTAAGTTGTTGCCATTGACATCATTATTACCATCGTGATAGTTGATACTGTAACCATGAGCAAGGGAGGCTTTTCTGGAGGTACCCAGTGGTGCTGGAAAGTAGCCAGGTACCCAGTGTGTGTCCCCCTGGGCCTTTCCTCCCTATCACTACTACCATCTGTTCTCAGCCTTCCCCAGCCCCAGGGATCCCAGAAAGGGAAGGTGTTGCTTCTCAGGGCTATTCATTTGGCTTCCTGGCACCGTTCCTCTGAAGAAGCGGGTCCTCGATTTGGTCTGGGGATTATCTGAGGATGTCAGCCCCATCCTCAGGAACCCCCTTATCCTGCTGCCTCATCTCGGTACCGCTTCTTTAAGGCAGGTGACAGAAACCACTTCCCAAGTTTAAAACTGTCCTGAGCTTTAAAATTTCCCATCCTTGGCCTTTTCTGATCCAGACTATGGTTGTCACTTGGGTTTTGTCTGCTGTGCCTCTGGTTTACAGGAGAGAAACCTTTCACATGTGTTTGTCTTTCTCTTTTTACAGACAAATTTTACTGCAAACCTCATTTCATTCTCTGTAAAACCAATAATAAACAACGAAAGAGACGGGCAGAATTGAAGCAACAAAGAGAGGTATGTTTTGTCTCCAAAGTGCTGGTGGATCAGGAAAGAGACTAAGTTTCTCAAGGGTCCCTCAAGAATTTAGGCCTTTTTTTTGGCCTTGGAGGGACTAAGACTTTGATAAAGAGAGCCCCTACTTCCTAGTGTGGATGGTCCCTTTACCTTCGTCTGTTCAGCTGACCTCTGGTGTTTGTCCCATTCCAGAGCCAGTTCCCAGGTGAGTGGTTGTGCAAGTTTCTCATGAGAAGCTGGGGAGAACCTTCCCATGCACCAGGGACAGAGTGATATCCTCGGCCACATGAAAGGCCTGTGGCACCTCTGTGGCTAGGACCTGCCTGACCACAGGGATGCCTGTTATGGCGCGCTATTGCTTTCCCCGGAGTTTTGGGTGTCAGTAAAATGACCATCTCACTGAATTTGTTGATGACTTGTGATAGCACCCCCTCTAGCACTTCTTAGCAAATGTTCTTTCTGCTACTTGATTGATCATCCACTGCCTGCTGAAATTTAAAACGTTTTTTTGATTATTCTGTAATATAGGCTCAATGTAGAAAAATGGGAAAACAGATGAAAATATATAAAGAAGGGAAGTTAAATCACCCATAATCACTCTGTCCTGGGAAATCCATAATTAATATTTCACAACACTTCCTCCCAGACTTTTTCCTGTGTGAATATATTTCAACCTAGTTTGAATCCTCCTATATCCACAGTCTTATATGCTTTTTATTTTAACTAACGGTTTATCAAGAGGAGCTTCCAAGGACTTAAAAAATTGTACTGGAGCATACTTTTTAATGCCTCTAAAAGATTCATTTTAAGAATGGTTGATAATTTATTTAACTATTCCTCTATTGTTAGACATTTATGTTAAACATTTTAAGTGTTTCCTCACCATCTTTATATTCATGGCTTTACCTATCTTTCAAATCATTTACTTAGGATATTTCATAAGGGGTGGGATTACTGTGTCAAAGGGCATGCATAGTTTGAAGGCCCATGAACCCTCTGCTCAGTTTGCTACCCATAAAGGTTGTGCCTTTATTCAGCTCCTCCTTCAACAGCGAATGGGTCACTGAGACTAGCTGGGGAGCTGGCTGCGAGATGTGGGGTCTACCAAGTTCAATTTTTATTGTCCGTCTTAAGACAGCTTTTTTTGAGGAGTTCTCCGTGACAATCATGGACTAAGTGCCGTCATTTTGGTCTCATTCTCAGGAGGAGGAGATGTGGAAAGAACAGGAAGCCCCTCTTCGAGAAACTGCCACCGAAAGTTCTTGTGCAGCTGTAGCCATTGGCACCCCCGAAGGCAGCCCCCCAGGTATCACCACTTCCTTCTTTAGGAGTGTGCTAAGCCATCCTCTCAGGGTGCCCAGGGACCTGCTTGACATTCCCTCAAGGCTCTTTAACTGGATGCGGGGGCTCCTGCACCACGCCGGCATCCATATCAGGGACAATGCTTACAACTACTGCTACACGTACGAGCTCCTCAGCCTCGGGCTGCCACTCCTCTGGGCGTTCTCCGAGGTCCTGGCCACCATGTTCCAGGAGGCCGAGGCTTCCCTTGAGAGCATCCGCCACTGCCTGCTCAGGTGCTTCCCAGTCAAACTCCACTGAAGCGCCGGGCCTGCCCCAGATGCCTTAACATTTCCAGGGGGGAGGTGGCTATGTGTGGGTAGTTTTTTAAGGCTCTGGCCTGGAAACCTACCATTTTGTAGCCAGTTAGCGCAGAGCCAAAGATATTCACGTTGTCACCTCTGCCTGTCCTTGTCAGGGTGAGCATCTGCTCACAGGGCTAGGACCAGGGCCAACATGAAGGATGTTTTTTTAATATATATATATATAACTTTGTACTTTTTTATACCAAAACGAGCCATATTTCGGGTTTACATTTCAATTTTTAACTTTTATAAGCCATGAAAAAGCATTTTTTTTTCCTATGAGTATCAATTTTTCTAAACACGGGTTTGAAATTTACAGCTGGTAGTACATACCTTTTCAATGTGGCCATGAATTGTAATACTTACTGTGTGCAGTTAATGCTGTGGGGTTTTATATGTTGTTGTTATTTGCCGTGGAGTCAGACCCAACTCATAGCGACCCCTCCTTGGGTTTCTGAGGGGTTATCACTATGGAAGTAGATTGCCCAACCTTCCTTCTGAGGAGTGGCTGGTGGATTTGAACCGCCAGCCTTCTGGTTAGCAGCCTTAGGCACTATGCTACCAGAGCTCCTGGGGTTTTATATATTAAAAAAAAAAAAAAGTGAATGTACTGTCTCTGACAAGTGCCTTTATACGTATGTACCTGGTGTCACTTGTCAACAGGGAGCAAATTTTGCAACAAGAAAGCCTAATTATGTTAGAAGAAGAGAGTAGAAGGGCAGAATAGAATTAAACCCACGACAGAACATGCTGTCATCTGTCCTCCCAGAAGGAGGAGTAGTTTGCTCCCTTATCTTGATGTGAAATAGAAGCTTAAAGGGTTCTTTTTTTAATACCAAATCACAGCCAAATGACATAGAGCCACAGAGTTTGAACCAGAATGCTAAACATACATTTTTCCTTCCCACTAAGAGCATTGCAGTGAAAGCTCATGGGCACTTGATCACCAGGACCCCCATCATACTTCAGCAATGCTGACCAGGCGCTCTGTCACCTGGTGGCATGTTAGCCCCTGGGGCTCCCTGCCAGGTCCCCAGCCCTGGCTGCAGGCTGAGCCAAGGCCACTCAGGGTCCATAGTGGTCAGGCTGAGCAGGAGGCTCTGCCTTTTCCCAGCACGTCCTCTGTGACTAGGGATATTTGTTAGCACTTCAGGGTATTACTAGGAAATGTGGCCTGCCCAGTTAGCATTGCTACAAACATCTTGGCTGCTGAGCTTCTTGGCTGCCATGAATATTTGTTCAAAACAGTCCGAAACCATTTTCACCCTGCCCTACAACAGGCATATGTCTGACCTCCAGGGGGCAGCTTCACTGTGTTTTAACCTACAGGGGAGGCTGGGATTTAAAGCTGTTAACTGATTCAAAGGAAGTATGCCATATTAAGGGCAAAAATGGGTGTTGGGCCTACCAGCATTCTTCCCTCTGAGTATGTAGGAAAGTTCCCAGCTCTCCATTCCACTCTGCCTGGGTAAGCTCAGCTGCAGAGTCTGGCTGAATCATCCAGAGGTTGATAAGACAGACCTCTAGGGCCCTCAGCGTATCCAGAGTTGCTGGGCCCAATGTAGCTGCATGCAATTGTTGACGCTAGAGGTTTTCTTTGGCTTCAGTGAGAACGGAGCCTGGTGTGTGTTTGGAGCCACTGCTCTTGAGACCTTTCAGAGGGTGAGTTTCTGTAGGGTGGGGAAAAGGAGGGGGCATTTCTTCACTTTGCTGAAGTCCTTGAGAAAAACCTGGGGCTGGCTGTGGCCAAGTTGGTGCCAACTGGTGCCTGTGGCCTCATTGGAACTGCTCTTGGTCTGAGATTCGCATTGTGTTTTTGCCCAGTCTTTCTGGGATTCCCATGTTCAGTGTGGAGGGAGATCCCTGGCCTTGTTTTATGTTTGATTATAGAATGTAAATTGTTGAGGTCATGATGGTTACACACGGACTGCTCATCATGATTATTGTTACTATCTTAGCTCATGACAGGCTAAGATGATTTGTGGAATGTTCTATGAAGTCAGAGTTAGAATCTCTCAGAATTGCATTTATGTCCAAAAAGAGACTGGTTTACATTATTATTGTGAGAAGGGTACTCCTGTCAGAAGCCTGATATGTTTATATGCTCCAAGATCTCGAACCTTCCTGGTGGGTAGTACCAAAACACAAGGGTGGGTCCCAGTGGGCGAACCTCTCTGTGCCTCCATAACATATTCAAGAATGAATATGGGACACTGGGGTGAATGGGGCAGAGAGGCTGTCAGGTACAGGGGGTTCTGAAGGTGCTCACAGCTCTGAGTGGAGCTGAGTGGAAGCTACATGTGTCCACTGTTGAAAATAAGTAGCTGTCACTACCAGAAAGGTTCGTCTCTCCTAAGCAATCAGTGACTTGTTTGGGAACATTTCCCTTTTCTTAATGGTTACTTTCTTTTCAACTCCTGTGCCTTCTCATGTTGTCAACTATTTCTCTTTTTTCTCCCAGCCTAAGTTCTCTCTTCTGTCTTTCTCTCTCTTTCCAACTTTACGCTGTGGCCATCAGTTCATTTCAGCCTTCCAGTTCTACACCCACTTTTTGGCTGACACACTTCTGCTCCGAGGTGACTGGTTTTCTTGCCAATTTTCACAAAGTGTTATTAACCCCTGGCCCGCTTTCCGCACCCGCCGCCGGTGGTACTGTTGTGCTAACTGTGAGTGTCTTGCATACTAATGGACTCATTTGGTGGCATGGTCATTTAACAACATGGGTGGTGTTCTGCTTGAAAGCTGTTTCTGATTCCATCTCCCTCTGGGCCAGTATTCCCCAACTACACCCCCAAGTGCATGGCCGCCCCTTCTCTGTTGTTCCGGGCTGCCTGCATGCTTCCCCGTCGCATTTTGAAGCCACTTGCCTTCTTGGGGGGGTTAACTCTGCCTGACTGTGAGACAGTTCCAAAGAGAGAATTCTGTCACTTTTAAAGGTACACTTCAGTCTAGAGACATCCGAAAAGGTACACTCATACCAGCATCTTCTTAAATCTAATGTAAAGATTACTTATCAAACTTCCCTTCTTTTGGAAGGGATTTAGGAAAAAGGAGAAAGAAAAAAAAAAGTATTACAAGGCTTTATCCCAAGCTGGACCCGTGCTCTGTATTTTGAACACATACAATTATTGTAGCAAATCCTTTCTCTGCTGCAGACTATACTATAGATCCAAGGGTTTTGCTATGGTTCCCTTCATCATCCTTGCTTCCTAAAGCTCCATATGATGGAGAAGCTTCAATTGGAGCAGTCATCCTCACAGGCAAGGCATGTCTTTGAGAACTGAGACAGTTCAGCCCCAGGCCTGGAGTGACCAATTTAAATGCCCCAGTAGCTCTGCTCAAAACACTTTTTCCTGCTGACTCCTTTACCTGGAGCAGCGGAACCCCCAAAGTGCTGTTAAAGAGAAACAACACCCCAAGTACAATGGAGCTGTCAGAGGCCAGGCCTTGTGGACACAGGCTGCAGTTGGTATCTGCCCTGCATGTAGCCCAAGCTATGCTGGCCTCTTGGCCTGGCTGCACAGCCCTGCATGCTTCATCCCTTGCTGCGTTTGTGTAGCTCCTGGCCAGTTAGAAGTCATTGTTCTTGTCTTATCTTCTCTTGCAGAATCTCCTTCCCTTTATAGAATGTCAACCAAAGAGTGTCCTCCTTCCCTCTCAGCCTCTTCTTTAACTAGCCTCCCCCATCTCATTGCAACGCATGTGTGTGACCTTTGGTTATCATTTACAGTGCCACATGGAACCCTGTATTTTGCACACAGCAAACAATGTGTAGCTTTATTTATGGTATTTGATGCTGTAAATGAAAATAAATATGTTCTTTATAAAGCTCATTGTTTCCTTTCTTCTTTGCCATGGAAGCTTCTAAAACCTCAAATACAGGCATTGGTTTAGGGGATCCGTCTTCCCTAAACTGCTGGCAGGACTTGCACTTATGGTGACACGGGGCTCTCTGGGGCTATGCTTGGGCACTTTGGAAAAAAATATTACCCAGGCGTAATATTTGGAAAATATCACCAATGTTCCTGGGCCTGGCTTTGGGTTCTCTCTCTTGAAAACGCATTGTACTTTTCTGTTCTAGATGCTGGTCATAGCTGGGTGAGGATCAGTGTCACTTCAGCTTTAGGAACTTATGCATCCCAAGCCATGGACCTATAGGAGAGCTTTACTTATGAACCTTACCCTGAGGTTCTTAGGTAGCAGAGGTTGCTCTTGGAAATTTTATGCTGCACCATCTGAGTGATGGGTGAAAGGTAAAGGAAAGAGACTGTACATTTATTTCAGGTTATCCATGAACCTGGCACGTGTGCTCTTCCAGATGGAGAGCCGTTTGAGATCCTAAGAGACCCTGCCTGAAAGTTTTAGGTCATTCAGTGTCTTATGCTGTGAGGCCTGCCTACAGGGCCACTCCGACTACAGCACCTGGAAGACTCTGGCCCAACTCCAGGATGTGTTTAAGGAAAGGATTTGGGGTCTCACTTGATTAGCCTGGGATGGGACAAAGAATCGACTTTTTCCTGCACTGGTCCTCAACCTCCCTACAGCAAAATGCCTGCCATTGTAAGACTGCACATAGCTGGGCTTCTGACACTAGTATGACAAGTCACCTGTGAATTTCATCAGAGGGTTGGACTTCCAAAGAGGCATTTCTGGGGCCCTAAGCCCATCTGCTGGCACCTAGATCTACCTTCAGAACTGCCTCAGGTCATGACGAAGGGCTATATGCTTTCCCAAGTGTACATGTCCCTTCGCAACAAGAATGAGTATTAGGGATTAGAAGTCAAAAGTGAATTATTCAGTCATTTATTCAGCAGACTCCCTCCTCCTCCTTGTATCTTGAAGAGTGCCTATCTCATTGTTGCTGTGCTACACCTAATTTGGGTTTTTTGTCCATTTATGCATGCATTCATTTCTTCATTCAACTAGTATTGACTGAATGTCTACTCTGAGCTGGGTCTATAGCAGGAAACAAAACAGACAAGTACCCCACCTCATGGAGCTTACATTTTGGTTTTGATTTTTTATTTGAAATTGGATTAAAGCAACGTTTTCCAAGGTATGCCAATGGAAATATGCCTCAAGAGGTGCTTCCTGAATAACAACATGAATAAAGGGTTCCATAGTCACAACATTTGAGAAATGTTATGTACTAATCTTGCCAGTGCCTCTCAAACCTTGGAGTAGATAAACAAGATCCATTAGTGTGTCAAAGCCTCTGAGGAGTTTTCTGATAAAGAAGCTTAATTAACTCTATTCAATTTTCCCCTACCTATTTGAATTTGGATCTTTCTTTTCCCATATTGCACTCTACATAAACAGTGTTTGGTAGAATAATCTTTTTTTCCAAAAACACTGGATTAAAGACTTAAAATTTAAAAAAGTAAAATAATAGATTTGAATCTTTATTCGATAATGGGACAATACATTTTTAAGACCTATAACAGAAAAAAAATTACATAGAAAAACATGACACAAATCTGACTATTTGTTATTATACATATTTTATCATGTATAATAAAAAAAATGAAAATAGGCAATCAGACTGAGGGAAAATCTGCATTAAATGTAATAACAAAGAAGTTTCTTGCTATGATATTTTAAAAGTTTATTCAAATCAAGTGTCCTCAAGCATCTGGCACAATGTAGGTGATGAGTTAATATTTGTTGATTAAAAACCCAATGATAAATAGATAAGATCTATAGACAGTTTGCACTCAAGCAAACTTAAAAAGTTGACACTGGAAATGACACTACAGAAAATAGTGATGTTAGGAAGCTTCAGGGGTCAGTCCCTCTATCAAAACAACTATGAAATTGGGGAGGAAAAAAGAAATCAGAATCACTTATTTCAGAACTCTGAAACCTGATCAGACACAGCAACCAGGGGAGTGCCTGATGAAAGGGAGAAGCTGCTGAAACTCAGAGAGCAGCATGCCTGACCTAGCTGCCATCCACCATTCCCCTCTCTCCCATTCCCCTCTCTCTGACCTTGAGGATTATGACCCACTTTCCTGAAGCATCTGGCTGGTACCAGGAAGGGCAACAAGAATCTTGCCCTAAAAAAGTTGGAGATGTATGTTTTGGTTGATCCCCTTAGGGGGACCAGCACAGATCTTTACTTTGTTTTGGCATCTTGGGCTACACTGGCTTTCCATTGCAGCAGCTACTGGAAGGTTTAAGAGACAGGCACTTTTTCTTTTTCTTTTTCTTTTTTTTTTTTTATCCAGACATTTAAGTTACTCTGTCCAGTCACTAGCTGTCTGCAGAGACAACAAAGCATGAACTTCAGTGATCACATATAACAAAAGGTACAGACTACAAAAAAGAATCTGTAAAGTCACCAATCAACCAAATCTCAACAGTTCCTAATGAAGGGAAGAATCTGATTTGCAGAGTTACCACAACATAGTAATCAAAATGTCAAGTTCTCAACAAAATATTGCAAAGTATTCAAAGAAACAGAAACATATAGCCCATTCACAGGAAAAAATGAATTTGACAGAAAGTACCCCTGAGGAAGCCCAGACATTGAAATTACTATCCAACGTCATTAAATTAATGCCTTAAATGTGCTTACTGAGCTAAAGGAAGTCATAGAAAAAGAACTAAAGGAAATCAGGAGAACAATGTATGAACAAAGATGTCAACAAAGAACAATTACAAAATGTAACCAAATAGAAGTTCTGAGGATGAAAAGCACAAAAGCTAAAATAATAATAATAAAAAAAAATCACTAGAGAGGTTCAGTGGCAGAAGTAGGCAGAAGAAAGAATCATGAAACTTGAAGATAATGTACTAGAAATGATACAGTTTGAGGAACAGGAAGGAACATGAACATAGCTTAAGAGAATTTTTGGAGATCATCAAGCATACCAACATACATATCATGGAACTCCTGAAGGAGAAGAGAAATAAAAAGAGGCAGAAAAAATATTTTAAAAAATAATGGCCAAAACATCCCAAATTTGATGAAAGGTATAAGTACATGTATTCAAGAATCTTGACAAACCTTGAGCAGGATAAACTCAGAAATCTATACCAACACACATTATAGTCAAATTATCAAAGGTCATAGACCTAGAATATTAAAAGCATCAAAAGAGAAATGCCTTGTCACATACAAAATATCTTCAGTAAGATTAACAGATGCTTTCTCGTCAGAAACAGTGGAGGCCAGAAGACAGAGGATGACATATTTAAAGTCCTCAAAGGAAAAAACAAAAACTGTCAGCCAAGAATTCTGTATCCAGCAAAACTGTTCTTCAGTAATTAAGAAGAAATTAAGACATTTCCAGCTCAGCAATAGCTGAGTTTGTTGTTAGCAGACCTGCCCTACAAGAAATGTTAAATGGAGTCTTTCAGGCTAAAAGGAAAGGATACTCCACAGTAACTCAAAGCCATATGAAGAAGTAAATAACACCATAAATGTAATTACATAAGTCATATAAAAACCAATATAAAAGTATTATTGTACTTTTTACTTGTATTTCCTCTTTTTATTCTATATGACTTAAAAGATAAATGCAGAAAATAATAACTCTGTTACTGGGAACGTAATGTATAAAGATGTAATTTGTGATGATAACAATATAAAGAGAGAGGGACAAAGATGTATGTTGTTGTTGTGTGCCATCGAGTCAGACCCGACTCATAGCGACCCCTCCTTGGGTTTCCGAGGCAGTATCACTATGGAAGTAGATTGCCCAACCTTCCTTCCAAGGAGTGGCTGGTGGGTTTGAACCGCCAGCCTTCTGGTTAGTAGTCAAGTGCCTTAGGCACTATGCCACCACAGCTCCTACAAAGATGTATAGGAGCAGAGTGTTTGTATACTATACTTGAAACGAAAATGGTGTTATTCAAACTAGACTGTTGTAAGTTTAAAATGTTAGATGTAATCCCCATATAACTACCAAGAATATAACTTAAAAATATACAGAAAATAAGGAAATGAAAATTATACACTAAAAAAATCAACTAAATGAAAATAATAATAATAAGGCAATAATGGAGAAATTGAAGAGCATAAAACATATAACCCATACAGAAAACAAGTAGTTAAATGGCAGTAAATACTTTAAATGTAAATGGATTTAACTCTCCATTTAGAAAAGAGATTGGCAGAATGAATTAAAAAGTATCTATATATGCTATCTTCAAGAGACTCACATTAGATATAAAACCAAAAAAGTATCTATATATGCTATCTTCAAGAGACTCACATTAGATATAAAACCAAAAAGAGGTTGAAAGTGTAACTGTAGAAAAAGATAATTCATGCAGATAATAACCACAAGAGTTCGGTGGCTATGTTATCAGAAAAATAATAATAAATAAAAAGTTACAAGAGACAAAGAAGACCATTATATATTGATAAGAGATTCAATACTTCAAGAAGATTAACAGTTATAAATATATACACCAAACACCTAACAATAGAGCCTCAAAATGCATGAAACAAATACAGAATTGAAGGGATAAATAGTACTACAATAGAAGTTGAAGACTTCCATACACCACTTTCAATAATGGCTAGAACAAGCAGACAAAAGAAAAATAAACAAATAGAGGATTTGAGCAATACTATAAATCAATGAGCCCTAATAGACATATACAGAACACTCCATACAACATTAGTATACATACTTTTCTCAGGTGCACAGGAAATATTATCCAGAATAGACCCTATATTAGGCCACAAAACAAGTCTCAGTAAGTTTAAAAAGATTGAAATCATACAAAATATCTTTTCTGACCATGATAAAATGAAACCAGAAATTAATAGCAAGGAATATTGGAAAATTCAAAAATATATAGAAATGTATATACTCTTAAA